GGAGGCCGCTGGGCGGGGCCTGCAGGGGGCGGGGCGAGAACCTGCAGCCTCGCCGGCAGAAGAGGGGACCTTGGACAGGAAGGAGCCACCTCCCGCCTCAGCGGGGTGGAATGTAGGGGGAGTGGGGCAGGCTCGGAGGAATTGTGGGGGTGCAGAAGCTAAGAGCCGCACAGCAGGGGCGGCGGCCCAGACCTCCCCGCACTGCGGAGAGCCAGTCCCCTGTCTGGGGAGTCTGCTACCGCACCTCCTCGGCCAAGCTGCAGCACGGCCCCGCCGAAGGCCCTGCACAGCTGGCCTGGCACGGCCAGAGAGAGGCAGGACACGACCAGAATCAGGCCCGCCAGACTGGACCAGGGAGCGTGGCCGCCAGGACCACGGCTTGGGGACTGAGCAGGGCATGGCGGGCCTGTGCCAGACTCACTCCGACCCTGTCCCTGTGCCAGGCCCAGCGGGGGCAAACACTTCCTCTCTCTGTTCATGGCCTTATGGGGGAGGGAAGGGCCCCAGGCTGCCCTGCGGGCCTTCAGCCCGCCCACGTTCTCCGGGGGCTTCAGGGAAGGCCCAGGACTAGCCTTCACGAGTGGCAGTAGGGAGGGTGCTGGGAGTACGTAGGCAGTGCCCACACTGGGACAAGGTGGCCGAGGGCTGGAGGAGATGCCCGCTCAGTGCCAGCCTGGGCAGGCTCACGGCGTGTGGGCGGCTGGCAGGAAGAGGTCAGGCTGCTTGCCTGACGACGCTGGGGGCGGGGGTCTCCTCCGGAAGGGGCCGGCCGAGAACAGCGGGCCTCCCTCGCCCAGAGGTGGCGCAGGGAAAGGGACACATACCTGTCTCAGTTATGCCAGGAATGAGGCTCCCCACGTCAGGGCAGGGAGGAGCCTTCCTGGGGGCAGGAGGCTGGGGAAGGGGCCCCGAGCCAGCAGAGCCTGGGAGACCCTGCAGGCCCTGGGGAGAAACTGAGGAAGGCAAGTCCTCGCAGAGCTGGGGACCAAGTGTGCCGCCCGGCAGCAGGGGCCCCGTCAGAGCCCAGGCAGGGATGAAGGGGGGGGTTGGGCCTGGGAGGATGTGACCCCCACCTTGGCTGCTCAGGGCCTTGCAGAGGGAGATGTGGGACCTGGTGGTCTTAGGGTGACCTCCACAGACGGGTGACTGCCTAGTGGGGCTGGGAAACTGTAGGCCCTTGGGAGCAGAAGAGGGTCAGAGCCAGAAGGGGAGAGGTCAGCTTATCGCAAGCCCCGTCCTCCTCACTGTGGTGAGGCCTGGGTGGGGTCCGAGGTCCTCACCCTGTACAGACCAGGAGGTGGCCCCTCCTTCCCACACCCACCTCGGGGTCCATGGACACAGGATTGTTTCTTCCCCAAGCCTGGCCCTAGCTCCAGGGGATCTTGTCCCTCAGGCTTTGGGGCACTTATACCCCATCTCACCTCAGGCCTCAGTCCAAGAGCCTGGCCCACCCTCTTGGCTCCCTGGCCCTCTCCAAAGCAGAGGTCTGGGCAGCCTGGCTCAAAGCCTGAGCATCTGCCAGTGAAGCCCCAGCTCCTCGTGCAGGGACCCTCCCCCCTCCCCTGTCCCCACCCCACCTGCAAGACCCCAAGCTTCAGCCAAGGCTGCTTCTTGTCCCTTCACCTCTATGAACCTCTTTCCC